TTTTGGTTACGTTGGGTCTTCGTTGCTGTGCCTGGGCTTTCTCTAGTTGCAGTGAATGGGCGCTACTCTTCCTTGCGGTGCGCAGGCTTCTCTCATTGCAGTGGCTTCTCTTGTTGTGGAGCATGGGCTCTAGGCACACGGGCTTCAGTAGTTGTGGCTCGTGGGCTCTAGAGTGCAGGCTCAGTAGTTGTGGCTCACGGGCTTAGTTGCTCCATGGCGTGTGGGATCCTCCCAGACCAGGGCTTGAACCCATGTCCCCTGCACTGGCAGGTGGATTCTTAACCACTGCACCACCAGGGATGTCCCAAGAAACCTTATTTTAAACCAAAGTACCAAATTGATTAGTCAGCTGGATAGACAGAAAAGTCAACAGCTTTTCCTTATTAGCAACAAGTTCATAGATTCTGAAATGAGAAGACCAACTCTACACACACACACACACACACACACACACACACACACACACACACACGAGTTCTTAGGAATAGTTTTGAAAAAGAAGGTTCAGGACCTATGTAAAGAAAACTATAAATATAAAAACAGTATAAAATCTGAATAGACAGAAAGATATCTCATTTCCTAATGGCAAGTCTTACCATTAAATTATCAGTTTTCTCATAATTAACATAGAAATATTTATCAGGTGATTCCAATTAGAATTCTAGTTTTTACAGACTGAAATGATTAAATTCTGAGTTTAAAAATTTTAATTATGCACTATTTCAAAGAAATTCAAAAGACAAACCACTAATTGTGACAAGACTTCAGGAATATATATTAGTGACAAAAGACTAGTATCCATATCACATTTTATAAAAGACCTCTATTAAAAAAAGGAACCACAAAAAGGAAAAATGGGCAAAGGATAAAGTGAAAGAATCATATGTAAAAAAACAAATTGAAAACAGTGAGAAAGGACTTCCTTATCAGCCATGAACATATTATAGAGCCACTAACATCAAAACCTTTGTTTTGCCAGGCCTCTGCTACAGTCTGATGGAACCCACAGAGCCCTTCTAAGAACGTTTTTTAAACATAAATGAAACACACGGGACTAAAGAAAACCAATTGCACTGAAATCCATAACCTTCTAAGGTGAAGAGAGCCCAAAATAGAAGGCCAAAGTAGATTCTAGTACTTACGGGAATTTTATCTAGGGCAAGATTGGGGTAAGTGGGGTAAAGAAAGTTTATTTAATGTGTAGTACTGACACAACTGGCTATCCATATGAAAAATAAGATGGCTCCCTACTTTGTGTCATAAGCAAAAGTGAATTCTAAGTTATTAAGGATTTAAAAAGAAAAAAGTAAAACAAAAGTCTCAGAAGAGGTTAAGGAGATTGCATGTACAGTCTAAGAGCTGAGGAACCCAAAAGGTATAAAATATTAAAAAATAAATTGTAAGAAAAAATATAGCATAAACAAACTGAAAAACAAACACTGGGTTAGAAAAAAATGCTTAAAACTTACATATATATGGGTTAGTATCTGTACTATACAAAGAGCTCATATAACATAATAAAACCAGGAAAAAAATTGAACAGAAAAACTGACAAATGATATGAATAACCATTTCAAAAAAGAGTAACTCCAAATAGCCTACAAACATGAAAAAATGCTCTGCAGAAAATGCAAACTAATGTACATCAAAGTGGCAAAAATTAAATTTTGTGAACACCTCCTACTGCTGATGGGGAATGCAGGGGGAAAAACAATACCCTTACATATTGCTAGTAGAAATGTAAATTGTTACAGTTTTTTTTTGTTTTTTTTTTTGCGGTACGCGGGCCTCTCACTGTTGTGGCCTCTCCCGCTGCGGAGCACAGGCTCCGGACGCGCAGGCTCAGCGGCCATGGCTCACGGGCCCAGCCGCTCTGCAGCATGCGGGATCCTCCCGGACCGGAGCACGAACCTGTGTCCCCTGCATTGGCAGGCGGACTCTCAACCACTGCGCCACCAGGGAAGCCCTGTTACAGATTTTTGGAAAGCAATTTATAAGATCTATCAAAACTAGAAAATATATACACTTTCTTTGGCCCATAGATCCAACTCTTAAATATCTATCCCATAGAAACAAAACGATATGTGTACAAGGATACTTATTGCAGCACCATCTGCAAAGGCCAAAATGGAAACAATATAAGTGCCCATTCCTAGAAGAATGGTTAAATAAACTGTGATAATCCATACCATGGAATATTAACATTGTACAATCATTGAAATAGATAATAGATGCATCCAAGTTGGCTTAGAGGTATTTTCACAGTCTGTTGTTAGGTAAGAACAGCAACATGCAGAGATGATTATACAGACAATCTCATTCTTGTAAAATAACAAGAGTAAAATAATGTATATATACATACTTGCATACGATTAAAGAGGCATGGAGAAATACAGAAAGGGTATACATGCCAGGTTGTAACAATGATTATCTCAGGTGGGAAAGGGGAAGAGTGAGTGTTGGGATGACAGAGGAAATTAAACCAAAAAATATGAGACCCTATAAAATAAGGAGTCCTTAAAATTATATATATGTATATATCCACAAATAAATATATGAAATAACCTCACTAAAATATTAAGTTACTTAAGAATAATGGTTTTTCAAGTGATAGTCATCAACATACTGAATTCAATGTACAAAGAGCCCCTACAAAGACCATATACACTCACAGAGCATACATTTGGTTACAAGAAAAAAAATCCAACTCAAACTGGCTTAAACCAAAAGGGAATTTATTGGCTCACATAAGTGAAAAGTCCAGAAGTGTAGCTAACTTCAGGTCCAGTTTGATCCAGGGGCTCCAGATTGCATCAAGGGTCCAACTTGGACACACTTTTATTTTCTTAGTACCGCCCTCAGGCTGGCTCCTTTAAATAGAAAAGCTGGCTGCAGCAAGTTCAGAATTATCACACCACATCTCCAAGAAAGTGTCTTCTTCTGCAGTTCCTGAGGAAGCCTCAGCAAACATCTTATAACTAAGTAGGCTCATCTGAACCATTTACTGTGGGGACTTGGGGGGAAGTGGCACTGGTTAAAGATAACCACGTCAGCTCCAGAGCTGAAGGTGCGACAGTCCCATCCAAACTGCATGTGTGATGATGGAGGGCAGTTATCCAAAGAAAAAGTGGGTGGTGGATGCCAGATGGGCAAGCACAACATAACAGGAACAGGAAGAAAAGAAAATAATACAAATTCCAATAAAATATGAAAAGTGCCCAACCACACTAGTAATCAAGGAAATACAAATAAAATTACATAGTTTATTGTTTATCAGGTTAATAAAAGAAAAAGAAACATTGCTTTTGTGTGTGAGAGAGATGGTGAGGGGGCAGCTCCTGTGAGAACAGAAGCTCACAGTACTATTGGAAACGTTTGTGACAAAACAGTTGTAACTAAGAGGCACTAAAGCAAACTTTATACCACTATCAGAAATGTTACTGATTCCTAAATATGAAACAAAAAGCTAGCAACAAACAGTAAAATTTAAAGCCCATAATGTAACAGAAGTTGAGCATGTTTCTTTTCCTCCAACCTGATAGATGTTCCCATTAAAAATGATAATAAAAAATAAAAATGGAGATTCCTGGGTAAATCTATATTCCTTAGCTCCAAGTGTTGACTCAGCTTATTTCTTTCTGTTCTCTTCCTTCAACATTTCCAGACAAAACCCAAGATGAAATCTGTAGTTGATTACCCTCAGCATAGCTGGGGTCAGAACTAGTATATCTTCTAAAACTGATTAAATGCTTTTATTCCTATCTCTAACAAGGGAAAATAAATGAAGGACGCAAAAACTTCATAAGTATGACTGATGAAATGGACCCCAAAATATAGAAGCATAATGCTTGAATACTGAAAAGACCTACAAGCTGTTGGATCTGGAGGATTATCCCAGTTCACTTGAAAATCAGTTAGAAAAAATATATATTAAACTGTATTTAAAAACATTATAGATATGAGGTAGGTTTGTGCTATCCCACACTTAAAACAGAATCATGTAATCATGTATATTTCAAGTATGCAAATTACAATGAATCAAAATCAAGTCCAATTTCACTGTATTCAGTTAGAAAGCCAAGTGTGAATTTATAGATGGCAACTGAGTACTTGAAATGAAAACATCCCCTAGATTTCAATTTTGAGCTGAAAGGCTGTTCCCAGATTTAATAACTTTTCCCATATCCAATTACAAATAGGAAATTAAGGTGCCCTAAGTCTCCTGATTTTGTACCTTTACTAAGTCAAAGATTTTCACTAAGAGACCACCTACTCTACTACCTTAACTTCTAGGTCAAATGATTTACACAGTTGGTTTACATCAATGGGATTTACTCTATAACCAAAAATCCTGAAAATCTTCTATTACACATAACAAAAGAATGATAAACCTGCTATGTTAAAACAAAAACTAGCCGTAGCAGAGGGAGCGGTGGTTAAGAGTATGGACTCAGGAGTGAAAATGCCTTGACTGGAATCCAGCTCCATCACTGACTAGCTCTGTGATCTTTGGGAAGTTACTTAACCTATCTATGTTTCATTATCCTCATCTTTAAAATGGGCATAATGGCAGTTACCAACCAATCTCTTAAGGTTGCTGTGAGGTTTAATGACATAATCCAGCACTTAGAACTGGACCTGACACCCAGTAAGCTTTCAATAAATGTTAACTATTACTGTTAATATAAATTGAAGTTATTTTTTTGTTTAGGTCTATCTCAGTACTCCCAGACTCAAAACACTATATTCTAATTGTTCTGATTTTCTCCATCTGCAAAAGGCACTTTAAAACTACTACAAATGACTGAGAAATGAAGAACTGACAAAATCCTGTTAAGTGACTAATTTTAGATATCACTACTACTTCACTTAGAAAACCTACACTATGAAACAAGAAGCTTGCAACAAAATAGTGACAATGTGAATAACACTGTATTCAGGACTTCCTCAGCTGATGAGAGTAATAGGGAAATGTATAATACTTCCTGCACAAATGCATCTAGGGAAAGCAGGCTATATTTATTTAAAAACTATAAAGGTTACAATATAAATCAAACAAAATTAGTTGTTAAAAGTTAAGTGACTCATATGTATCCAAATTCTGACCAAATCAAGACAATCCAATGCACAGAAAGAGTATTATATAGTTCAAGGAGCAAAAAGCAATAAACAGAAATGTCAATACAGAAACTACATAAATATACAAATCTACAGTTTTAATGTAACAACAAGTCGTTAAGTACATGTGTTAGCTATCTTTCTCCAACATTAAAGTAGTATATGTTTCATATTTAGTAAAAACATACATAATGCAGAAAACCTTTAATCAAATGTAACGTAGTCTAACAAGTGTGAACCACGTAGAATGTAAGGTTTTCTTATGTGAAGATGTACATTTCAGCCCATTATCACATATATTGTTGCAAAGGTGACCCACAAAAATGTTTATCATTTGCACCTGTATACAGAGAACAAACTGCCTAGAAATTAATATTTCTTATTAATCTTACTGAGGGGTATTAGAGTAACCTGCCTGAAAGGACAAATTACTTATCTGGAGGCTTAAAATAGCAGAGATCAATGTAAATTAAATATATGAGTGAAAAAATATACAGTGTACAACAGCAAGAGGTTAGAAAACTGAATACTGTGGAAAAGATTTATTAGTCTGTACAAGTTGGTTTTGATAAACTATTGGCTACTTGTTACAGTAAATTACCAAGATTTTCATTGCAACAGTATTTTCCCACACACATCAAAATCTGGAAGCAATATGCCTTTCTCGAATTATAATTTAGTGTCTTTCCCCCCAACCCTCAAAACACAGAAGTAGGCTTTTGAGTATCAACTAGCCATTTATGGAAGTCATAAGATACAGATATTCATTAACATTACACAAGCTACGACTGAAGTGCTTGCACAAACACCACCAACATTTATGGAAAAAGGTGTTGTTTCTAAAAGTGGTCAAAGTACTACATGAGTTACGTAAACACACCATTCCTGTCCTTCTGAAAACAAAATGGGGGGAAACCTTATTGCCATCCTGTCAAATACCACATAAGCAAAAATGCTGCACAAAGGGTCATGAATCCCATGTACATATCACAGAATTAAAACTCCAGTTAAGCAACTGAGCTACTTGTGAACTAAATTAAAAGTAAGACCAAACTTCTTTAACATATCGATGCTATTTTAGAAGCATCATCAGAACAAACAGAGATTTAATTATAAATTGGCCTGGACTACATCCTGTAAAGAGAAATTTGCTTAGTACTAAAAGAGAATCCATCAGCAAACATCCTAGAAAAGTTATGGAATCATGCTCTTTGTTATTTCTGAAGGGAAATTTGCCAGGTTTGATGATACCTGTATGTCTCTCAGTGGTCCTAGGAGTTCTACATACCAATTAATTCAGTAATTGATGAGTATTTAAATGAAAAGGACACCAGAAATAGACCTTGTATCAACATACACTAGATAAGTGGATTTTTAAAAAATCACATGATGAATGTAAATCATAAAATCAAATGTACTTATAAAGGTACACCTATTTTATGTTACATAAAAAACTGCAGATTGCAAACTATGCATGCTTACCATAATGTTTTACCTGGAAACAGTCGATAAGTGGGATTTCTCGCAAATATTTACTGCCATGATACAAAACAAATATGTGCAAACTGCAAGGACCCTAAAATAGCAGTTGAAGAGTTTATATACAGAAAGATGACGTTATCCGATCAAATATGCAAGAGATGGAGCTCCCCAGAGTTCATAACACAGAGCAGTAACCACCACAGGGCCCTCCCCCTTGCCCTTCTTCCCTGTGTGTCAGTTTGACTCCTTTATTCTGGTTCTCACTTTCCCACAGTCCAGGCGTCTGAATGATCTTTTCAACAAGTTCCTCAAAAGCACACTGTACGCCATCACAGGTTTTTGCACTTGCCTCTGAAATTCAAGGAAAAATGTCAGAGTATATTCTCTTCTGATCATATTTCTACGTTTTTCTGGAAAACTATTACAGCAGAAATATCAGCTGATGATATATAAAAAGCCAAATCTCTCCCCACAGGTTTAAGATTAGCGAATTTCCTGCAACTCTCAAAGTTGAGCTATTTAAGTTCTATCTATAAGACTAGCGGTATATAAGCCCAAGATTTTGTGATAGAGTTGTAAATTTTAAAGCCCTACTCAAATACTACGCCAAAGTTCTTTCCTTAATTTTTTTAGTTCTTAATATTAGCCCCTGAAGCAGGTATCATTCCCGTTTTAGAATAAGGAAATCTAGGCTCTAAGTTAAACAATCTGGTTGCTCTGTGCCTGGGACCCAGCAGCTATAGGTGGTTGGATAAATGACATACAACCATGAACACTAGTCCCATTTTAAGTTTATGCTTATGAGACGCATGTGGACACTTAGCCCTGCTCCCCAATCCAGCCCTGCTCCCCAATCCTGTATTTCCCCAGTGACTACCTTTTTTTCCAGTCTGAGATGACTATTTATTCCGTCATCTTAAAGCTCCTCTACCTCAGCTGATGATCTAGCTCTATATTGAGAAAACCCGAAACAACCTGGCAAGAACTCCTGATCATCCCACTGACAGGGTTCCCAGCCCACCCACATCTGTATCCTTAGGCTTTGCCTTCACTCCTGTTACAACAGGTGAACCATCCCGGCTGCCGTCTGAGGCCCCCCTTTGTCTAGTTCCCGGGATCCCATCCCTTCTCATTCACTGAAAAATCATGTGCCCTCTCTTCTGGATTATACCAGTCAGCTTCAAAGCCCACCAAAATTATTGTCCGTCTCATTAAACACCCACCCGCCCAACCAAACAACCTGCCCTCCAGCCCACACCTCCTCCAGTAGCCACCTGGTTTCTCTACTCTCTCAAAACTGTCACAAAGAGTTGTCCATATAAGTTGTTTCCACTTTATCTCAAAATTTTCTTCAAACTACTCTGATTAGACTTTTGTTCCCACCACTCCATGGAAACTATTCTTTTCAAGACTACCAAAGCCTGTGCCTTGTCAAATCCAACATCCTTTTCTCATTTGACCCCTTGCAGCATTTGATGTGGCCGACCGCCTTCTTCCTTTAAACACTTGGTTCACGTGGCCTGCAGGACACTGAACACTCCCGGCACCTCCTCTCTCACTGGCGTATCTTTCGCAGCCTTACTTGCTGACACTCCTCTCTCACTGGCGTATCTTTCGCAGCCTTACTTGAGGGCACTCCTCTCTCACTGGCGTATCTTTCGCAGCCTTACTTGCTGACACTCCTCTCTCACTGGCGTATCTTTCGCAGCCTTACTTGCTGACACTCCTCTCTCACTGGCGTATCTTTCGCAGCCTTACTTGCTGGCACTCCTCTCTCACTGGCGTATCTTTCGCAGCCTTACTTGCTGGCACTCCTCTCTCACTGGCGTAGCTTTCGCAGCCTTACTTGCTGGCACTCCTCTTTCTGCTGACTTCTGATTGCTGGAGTGCCCCAGCGTTCAATCATCAGCCCTTTTCTATCCAGTTTTTCCTGTAGTGATTGCTCTAATCCCATGACTTTAAACGCCACCTAAATGCCAGTGACCACGATGTCCACTGGTTGTCTGAAAGACAGGTCTTACGTCTAAGCAGAACTCTTGGTTCCCTATTCCTCTGCCTAAACCTGTTCTCATCTCAAACTTCCACATCTCAGTTACGGCACCACCATTCACCCAGCTGCTCATGCCAGAGACCTGAACTTATCCTGACTGCTCTCTTCCCTTATCCTCCACACCCAACCTATGTGCTGTCAGCTCTACCCTCAAAGCGTCTCCTGGATCTGCCAACTTCCCACCAGCCATGACTGCCACCACAGTCAGCACCACCAGCACCCCTCATCTAGGCCACTGTAAGAGAATAAGCACCCTCTTGCTTCTGCTTCTCACGGGCCATTTGCTACACAAATGAGTCTCTTTAAAAGAATATCAAGTCACAGCACTACTCCCTTGCTTTCCACCTTGCTTAGAATAAAATTCATTTCTTTACCATATCCTAGGAGGTCCAACATGACCTTTTAAGATCTCTTGTCCCATCATCACCACCCTTTCCTCCAGCACACGCTCTGCTCCAGCCCACAAGCTTCCTTCCTGTTGCTCAGACCCACTAAGCTGGTTCCTACCTCAGGAAATACTCGTTATTCTCTCAGCCTGAGACACTCTCCGTCTTGATCTTCATACCACGAATTCTTGCTCAAATGGCACTCTCTCAAAGAACTTTTCCGTATTACCTCCCACCCTGGTCATTCCCTCTTCCCTTACTATGTTTTATTTCCTGCATAGCACTACTTACTTATACGAGTCTGTTTCCCAGCCTGGAATGTAAACTCCCTGAGGACAGGAAGTTGGACCATTTTGTTCACTGTTGTATCCTCAGTGTTCAATAAATATTAATTGAACAAACTAACATATAGAAATGAAAGACACCTAGCAAGTAAGCAGTAGAGATACTACTCAATCCCTGTCTAAAATTCCCTACACCTTCCACTTACACCACCCCACTTCTCTTTATATGTGATGTTCTCCCATTTCCATTTCCTGATTCCTACTGGGTTCTAATACAGTGGAATAGCTAAAACAGTAATTCCTAAGGCTGGCTTCACATCAGAATTAACTAGGGTGTTTCTTATAAACTGCCTTCGAGGCTCTGTTTCAGACCCGTGATAAGTAAGGCCCAGAGAGTGTAACTTTTAAAAGCTCCCAACTGGTAGAGCCAGTCCACTATGCCAGACAAGGGGCCAACAAACATCTTCTGTAAGTGGCTAGAGAGTAAATATTTTAGGCTTTGACGCCATACTGCCTCGCACTGTAATGGCAACTCTGCCATGAAGCACAAAGGCAGCCACAGACAGCAACGCAGGTGAGCGGGCATGGTGTGTTCCCATACAAACAGTGGGGCCACATCTGGCCCGTGCTGTATTTGCCAACACTAGCTCTACCGTGCTTCTCACATATTAACGTGCATACAGATCACATGAACATCTTTCTCAAATGCAGATTCTAATTCAGAAAAACTGGGCTAGGGTCTGAAATGAAGCATTTCTAACAAGCTCTCAGGTGGTGCCACTGCTGCCAGCACATGAACCAGCAGGTGCGACTGCAGGGCTGGGTCCCTGGCTTTCCTGAAGGAGAGGAATGGTGTGACTCTTCTGTAAGGCTTCACATGATGTGAGATCCTATTCTTTTTCACAGAAAGAAAAATAAGGAACCTGGTTCTACAGTTGGTTAGTTTTATAGCACAAGACAACCATGAGCTATATACACACATTTTATGGTTCATAAAGAGAACAATGTAACAGAAACTCCATTTAAAAACTCTTCATTAATAATGAAAAGATAAAGATTCACACACCTACCTATAAATAACATGGAATGCTTCCGTGCAAACTTCAGGCCTTCATTTCTGTCAACTTCACGATTTTCCTAAAAGATAAATCAAAGATTAAGAAAAGCTACCAAAATATAGAGCCAAACTGCCAAGTGTCTGACTTCTCACCTTATCAATTTTATTTCCAACTAGCATGTTTACTATGTCATTTCTCGTGCAGTACGTTTCCAACTCATTTAACCAATTATCCAGTTTAACAAAGGTGTCTCTTCTTGTGACATCATAAACTGAAATAAAAAGAATCATTTATTAAATATCAAAAGTAAGAAACAATGGCATTACATTTCTGATATGTACTAGGAACTGACATTACTATACAGACAAGTCTGTTTTTTAAGCCTTCAATGCTTAAAAATCAGTGCCTACTGATCCAGATGGAAGAAACAAGTGTATTTAAAAAAAAAATATATGCATTTACATACGTACTTCAACTTTATTTACATATGTTGTGAGAGAAATGAAATTATATCCTATGTGATAACTGAAAATTAAGCAAAACAACAGCTGTGTCTCCATTTATAACAATAAAAAAAGTTTGTCTGAAAACCAAAAGGTGTTTAGATTCAAATCTGTGGCAAAATACCAAAAAATTTTACATAAATTTCAGCATCTATGACCCTGTTACTTTATTTCTCACAAGGACCAGAATTTGAAAATTTGAAAAATATGTAAAGTTAGTGGGTGGAATCCTGATCGTCTTCCTCTGCTTTCACTTTCATCTCCCATCACTCTGCATTTTACTAAAGAGCTTATTAATTTAAAGTGTTTTCTAAACTTAGGAGATGCTGAACCAAAACTATGAGAGTCACTGTCAAATTAACAGAAATGAAACCAAAGCCTCACAAGTCATGATATATAAGAAGAGATTTCTCCCTACAATTGATCAATATTCATTTTAAACAGTTTCTCAGGAATATTAAGAACAAGCACTTTTCAATAAATTACATTGAAAATCCACACTTGGCTTTTAAGTTCTGTGCGATTATAAATCAATAGTACTAAGTGCTCTGTGCTATTTTTCAAGACTAAGAAAACAGATTCTGCTAAGCAACCAACACTCTCCTTCTTTTATAATCTGGCAGTTAATATTTGTAAGCTGCTGACTAAAGATTGGTTTCTGGTAATACTCTAAGACAGACCAATGACAGGAGGACTGGTCCTCAATTATGTCCTCAGCAACACGCGCTTTTAAACCAGATAAATTATAGGGGTGTTTTATTTTAGGTAAGCGATTTTTAGGTTGTACTTTTAAAAATGTTTTCTATGTATCTTCTTTCAGAAAAATGCATAAATCCAAACCACTCCTTAGTACATGTGTCTGATCTTTATTTTTTAATTGCTAGACAAAGGGCTGAAACAAAATTTTAAAAGTGTAAATATTCATTAATATTACATGAAGTTAATGTAACTTCAAGTCACATAAAAGTAGCCCTAAAGAAAAATGAAAGAAAAACTTATTGACCTTCACAAACAAGGAAAATTAGAAATTCCCCAGTAATAAAACAATATTTTTTAAACGGTATATTAAAGTAAAACCTTACCTAATATAACACCCTGTGCACCTCTATAATAGCTGGGAGTTAATGTTCTGAACCTTTCTTGACCAGCAGTATCCTAAAAGTGGCAATAAATTATTATTAAACAAAACAAAGTATAAATAAAAACCTTCAACATACTAATTTAAAAGCAGAAAGTTGAACAGCATTATTAAAATATCAAGCTCATTTAAAACTTAAAATTTAAATAAGACTTTTTTTTTTTACTGACAAGTGTAACATAAAAACTAACAAATACTGCCTCATCTCTAGAAAAAATGTAACAAAGTATAGGTTTTCTACAATTTTGAATTTAAGATTTTTATCACACATGAAACTCATTTCATTGAAAGCCATTGTTCTCAACTCCAGTGGCACAATAAAATTTCCTGGGAAATGAAAATACAGACGCCTAGCTTGAACCCATGAAGATTCTGACTTAACTAGGGTATGACAGAAGTTTTAATACTCTTCCCACCAGGTGATTCTGACACAGAATCAAGGTTGAGAACCAATGATTTAAAGAGAATTACAGGGGTGTTTTATTTTAAGTAGGCAATTTTTAGGTTGTACTTTAAAAAATGTTTTCTATGTATCTTCTTTCAGGAAAATGCATTAAAACCAAACCACTCCTTATTACATTTCTGACTCATATTAGGGGTAATGAATATAAGACGTACACAAGCTAGGAAATGTAAATTTCACAAGGAAGGGACCACATCTGCTCAATCACCAGTTTAACTCCAGAACCCAGAGAAATTCCTGCCATAGAATAGTTGCTCAACTTTTGTTGTAAACTAATTAGCAAGTCTCTTCTTCTGGGCCTGGTTCCTTCTGTCTTCTTTCTACCATCCTCGGACTGTGGCTCAAGTCTACCTAAGATTAAGCAAAGCAGCAGTTGGTAAACTGCTGCCTCAGCCCACCACCTGTTTCATTATATGTTTTTATTAAATAAAGTTTTCCTGGAACACAGCCAGACCCATTCACTTATGTACTGCTGGACGGCCCACCTTGGGGTTGAACTAAATATCTTCCAGTCTTTTAAGAAAAAGTTTGCAGTCTGCTAATGTAAAATAACCTGAAGAAAAGGAAAGACGTACATCGAATGTCAACAACTGCCGTCCCATGGCTGTAAGTGTGAGTTCAGCTGTGGGGCAAGCAGAAGCTCAGATGGATCAGAATTTATAACAACTATATAATTTATATGTTTAAATAGTCAGAAGTTAGATCTTTGCTTGCCTTCAAAACAGGCATTTGCAGTAAGTAATAACATCTTTGTAAGATAAAGGAAGCAGAGCTTATTATATGTGGTTTTATTTTCTGATGGAAGAAGAGAGGATTATTAAAGACAGAAACGGACAAAGCTGGAAAGGATCTAGAAAGGCTAAATGACAGAATGTGGGGAGTAGAAGTGAGGGAAGGATGTAGAGAAGAACCACCTCAGAGGTGGGTGCCAAGTAGGTCATGATGTGTGGGCCGCACTTTCGGGGGCACAGGAGGCAGGGCTGGGCCTGACTCTATTCTGTTTGAATAATCCTAGAAGGAGCATCCAAGTGGGAGAGGAGCTGATTTTATTTACATGAAGTAGATTCATATATTTCTAATCCTGAGTGAGAAGGCCTTCCTAAATATGACATGACACCCAGATGCATGAAGAAAATAACTGATTTAATCATGTAAATACTGAACCCTTGGTATGGCAAGAACACCCCTCCCCAACACCATGCTCTCTCCCCGCGCCCCCCACACTCATCCTCAACAAGATTTGAAAGTAAATGACAAACTAGGGGAAAAAGTCTGCAGCATATGACAGAGTTAGTATTACACACAAGAACATTAATGTATACTCCTCTTAAATAAGATTTTAAAGACAAATGACAGAGTGGAAAAAATGTGGCACATGACAAAAAGCTAGTATTTTTATTATATAAAGACTTTAATCATGAAAAAGATGAACACTAATATAAAAAGGGCAAAGCATATAAGAAAATTCATTAAAATATAATCAATAAATATGCAAGAAAAAAGCTCACTAATCAAAAGAAATGCAATATAAGTGAAAAATTATTACTCAGAAAGGCAAAAATGAGAAAGATTAACAATATATAGTACAGAAGACCTTTTTCCTATACCCCAATGTTAAGTCTTCATATTCTTTGAGACAGTAATTCAGCTTCTAAGTATACACTGTAAAGTAACTGGACAAGTACACACAGATGTAAAAATTAGTATGCTCATCACAGCACTTCTGATCTTTGTGAAAAACTATTAACGGTGTAAATATCTTAAGATGGTCATTTAAACTGATGTACTTCTATATTTATTGACACAGAACAATGTACATAGTGTGTTGGGGGGAGGGTGACAAGCAGGTGAATCCTTTCTTTCAGAAAGCTGCATATACAACACGTGTAACAATGTGCATGTGTCTGACATATTTTATAGGATGTTCACTAAAATGCAGACATTGGTTAAAGATGAACTTTCTTCTCTATTAATTTCATACTATTTTGATTATACTTTTTAGAATGAAACTATATTATCCTTGCAGTCAGGAGAAGCCTCTCTTATTTAAAAAATATTTATAAGCCTATGATAAAGATGTCACTTCAGTAATACCTGCCAACCTTTTTATTGAGCAGGAACTAGAAAGTAAATTAAAAACAAACAAATAAAAAACCTCTTGTATGAAAGTAAGATCTCACAGCAACCATCAAGCCTCAGATCCTATTCTAAATTGTATATGTCACAGCAGGAGCAAGGGCAGAAGAGGTAATAAATCAAACAAGAAAAACACGGAAAATCAGGCTCCACTTCAGTTCGGAAAGAAGGGAGCATTCTTAAACTTCAATATATATTTTACTACGGTCTAGTCCAACATTTTCCAAATTGTTTCTTGTTAGACATTACTGTACTGATTGATATTAAACATATTTTGGGGAAGGGACAAACAGGCTACCAATCATGTAAAGCATTGTATCTTAGAAAAAAACACAAAAAAAACATAAGACACACAGTCATTTGGAATAAAGTGTGTGTTAGAAATAGTGTGCCATTCAGAGAATGCCATTAACATGAATGAGATCATACAATGCATGAACACTTGCTGTTTCAATCTGTAATTGACACCCACCCAGCCAGCATTTACTACTTAGCCACCGAAGTATGACTCAATTTGATGACTGCAGACCAGTCCTAATATTATTATCATGTTATAAAAATATACTTAGATATTTAACTATAGCATATGTGGGAATTAGCTTATGAGTATATTTTTATATGTAATATATTTAATATATAAGCAATCGTACTTAGATGGAGAGACAGAGATAGGAAGGAAGGAAGGAGAGGCGGAAAGAGGAGCAGACGGACGCAGACTGAGTAACCTGGACGTTCCGGCAGCTAATGCTACCTTATTCAGCACTACCAGGAAGAGGTCTAGTTAGCAGAGAATGCGGATCAGAACAGTTGGGTTACCAGGCAAATGAAAAGACGCTAGTAAGTAAACACTCAGCATCAGTATTTAAAAAAAATCCAAAGTTGGCAAGCTCAAATTTTATAGATATTTACACTAACAAACATGAAAAATCATTTTTTCTATCGCTTCATTCCCTTCTCCACAACAACTGTCTTTAGCATTAGTTCAGAGTAGGTTGTCTTTTTAAAACTTTAACGAAACACATTCAATAACAATGATTCTCTCTGGCAGACGATGATTTTTTTAATACTCTGTTTTCAAATATTCTGAAGGGATTATATATTTTAAAAATCTGAGTAAGTAAAACAAGTCTCTGCCTGATTACAGAATTATAAGATATAACTATTTATGTCTATCCTTTAATCAACATCAAATCTCCCAAGTTATTAAACACACATTGTTCATTCACCTCTAGAACACTACACACATCAATTTCTGCTTCTTCAAAAAGTACAAGTTTAATATTTACACAGAATACATTTTAAAAATTCTTACCCATATTGCAAGTTTAGCCTTATTTCCATCCACTGAAATTGTTTTCACCTTAAAGTCAACACCTTGGAAAAATGAAAATTTTGATAAGAATTCCAGTAAAACATACATTTTAAATCAATTACCAAGAAAATGAAGAAACAGAAAAGCCACTTTATTAAATGCCCAAATTCACATCCGAATTCTTAGAGTTATGGATGTGAAGATAGAAGAAAAAGTGTCACTAAAGTTTAGCAGCTTAGAATTTAATCGAGAAAAATGAAAACCAAATGCTTGTAAAATTTATTCACCTACCTGTACTTCTTGAAAAAGCAAACGTTTTATTGAAAAAAATGAAAGTGTAAGGTGTAAGGTGGTGATCGACCCGGCACATTAAAAGCCAAGAGCTAGAGTTCACCGTGCTGATGTAGAGATCTCTGGCTGACTGTGGGTTGGGGCACTTTCCCAGGGCCCCCAAGCTATTATTAGGAGCGTTGTTCACAGCTCGCCAACACCCTAAGTCAGATTCTGGCTGTGGGCAGCTTGGAAGACTGGTAAAATTATAAAGGGGCCCCTCTTTTCTCGCCTTAAGAATTCTTTGTTTTTGTTTGTTTTTATCCTAAAAAACAGTATTCATTTTATATAACCTTATCAATAATCACTTGCTACTGCACAATTGCAAAAAGAGAATTTACACACAAAAACGTTTATGCCCAATCCTTTAAGAATCTTCGTAAGTTAAAGAGGAGTGCTCGAAGAGCAGTGAAATCTGTATGCACTGATTTACATGAAGAGAAGACAAGTTCCGTACGAAGTCACATTGGGCTCTACTACAGCAGCACCCAAAACCTCTCCCTGCCCTGGAAAAGGACTTGACACATGCAATCTGGCTTAAATGACAGTAACTGCCCACATGTCTTAAGAGAGTATCAGAAATAATGTGCAGTCTATCCCACTGGCCAGAGGGAAAATATTAACTCAAGACACTTGGAAAGAAACTTTCAAGAGATTTTAGCTTATCACAATTAATTCAAAACAGCCACAACTAAGATGATATATGTAAATGCTCAAATACTAAATGCTTCCTAGAACACCTGTCGCCAATATGGAAATATATTAGTAATTCTTGGATGATTTCTGATAATCCATTACACACACAAATTAGGTAATAAAAACGCGTTTCAAAACATGCATTACACCAGGTCTTTCTGCATGCCAAAGATTAAAAAAAAACAGGTGTCTTGGGCTAAGGTGATAAAGAAGTTGATGAAGTCATTCCTAGAATGTCAGGCAACCACAAGTTAAAGGACAGTGCCAACTGCACAGTCCAAGGAAAACCTAAGTGCAGTTTCTTTGAGGCAAAACAAACAAAAAATTCTATATATTAAGTAATCTTTTATTCACCAGGTCTAGATAAAGAAATCTGCCACACCATTTTTATAAAAAATATGAAATTATTTACATTTTACTCATATAGCTTAAAAAAAAGACACCCAAACTTGAGAAAATGTGGATGAAGAAATGGTTCTGACTTGGTAGAGGTACTAAATGAAGGCCACTGGTAGACATCGCAAAGAGACGGCCTGTCACACATGCTCCACAGTTAAATTCTCAAGGTTCTTCAGAGAAGATAGAAAGAACTTTTCTATTCTTAAACACCTAAGACAAATCTGCTCAAGGGCAGACTGCTACCAGCTAGTCTACCCAGGAAAAGAAACTCAATGTTCCCGGAATGTTTGTGTTCTCCTTCCCTCCCCCAATATCCTCTTTCTCTTTTATAATTTCCTGCATATATTTCTTGGCAGTCTAATGACTTTCTCTGTCATACGTATAATTTGCATATCAATAACTGTCTCCAAGTTACTCTTCTGACATGTTAGATTTGAAAGCTACAGATAACACCCTCAGGAAACACTGCCCCTGGAGTCCTACCATCAAAGTCAAGAGACAGGCAACCTGAAAGGGTACCTCTCCTGGACACAGGACCTTCAGTTCTCCTTCATCCTCCCTTGGTTCCTCTGGTGGATCTCGTGTGCAGACATTGATCTCTTTAGCTCTTAGATGCTCAAACTGCTTCTTCACCAAGTCTGGGTCTTCTGTTTTGCAAGTGGCTGTTAATTTGCCTTATTGGTGGCAGCAGTGGGAATATTTCTGATAAATTTTATTTTGCCAACTTCTCATTACATTTGATTAAACTATCTTTTCAACCTTCTCATGTGGATGACAAACAAGGAGCTCATAATAGAAGCAGACTGTTTAGGAAAAAACACTCCTGTGTTTCTCCTCTACAACAGTGAACGCTTCTGTGACCCAATACATAGGGTTTTTCCCACAACTACCAATTCTTTGACTTTCCAGGGACACCAGCTGGGTGTCCCACGATTCAATTCAGTTCTGACACGATCTACCTGAAGTTAAGAGATAGATCCCACAGGGTAAGGGCGAAGTCCCACAAGACTGCCACACCCCCATTTCAGAGTCCAATCTCAAGTCCACGTTGTTACCTGTGCTTCTGACCAACTGGCTATAAATCAGAGGTTCCCATAATCCCTCCTCAATTAGATTAATTTGATATAGTAGCTCAAAGAACTCAAGAAAACAGTTTACTTACTAGATTATCATTTTATTATAAAAGGATACAACCCAGGAACAGCCAGAGGGAAGAGATCTGGGCACAGGGCAAGGTATGGGGAAGGGACACAGAGTTTTCATGCCCTCTCCAAGCATGCCATCCTTCCAGTACCTCCACATGTTCACCAACACAGAGCTCTCTGAACCCGTGGGGTTTTTTTATGGAGGCTGGACTGATTAAATCATTTGCCTTTGGTCATTAAACAAAACCTCCAGCCCCTCTCCGCACCCTGGAAGTGAGGGAGGTAAGATAGGGATGAAAAGTTCCAACCCTCTAATTATTGGGTTGGCCAAAAAGTTTGTTTGGGTTTTCCATAGCATCTTACAGAAAAACCTGAACGAAATTTTGGGCCAACCCGATACATGGTTGGTTCTCCTGGCAACCAGCCTCTATGCTTAGGGGCTTTCTAGAAGTCACATCATTAACATAAACTCAGGTGTGGTTGAAAAAGGCTTGTTATGAAAATACAAAAGACATCCTGGGAATTCCCTGGTCGTCCAGTGGTTAGGACTTGGTGCTTTCACTGCTGGGTGCCAGGTTCATTCAGTCCCTGGTCGGGGAACTAAGATCCCATAAGCCACGTGGTGCAGCCAAAAAAGAAAAAAAAAAAGAAAAGAAAAACAAAAGACATCTTTAATGATTCTTATCACTTAAGAAAATCCAAGGGTTTTCGGAGTTCAGTGCTAGGAACCAAACATATATTTCTTATCATAAATAACAAAATCATAGGAGAACTGTCACTTCAGCTTTTCTCTAGTTGTTCATTTGGGCTTGCATTTTTAATACAATATTCAATTCTGTTCCTCTGCAGGAATCTTTTTATAGGCACACGCCTATTTTATGAAGGTTAAGTTAGTTAAAACTAGATAATATAACCAATAAAGCCTTTGAAACAAGCAATAAGTGAGACATGAAAATTTACCAAAAGTAATATCAACTACACTGTAAAGAAATACCAATGAATGGGAAACCAGAACATATCAATGGAATCATCTGCCTTATCAAAAGAAAAACCAGCAATCAAGAGAAACTGACTCAGAACTAGCAAAGATGTTAAAACTAGCAAAAAAGGATATTAAAAACACATAACTGTATATCACATGTTCAGAAAGTTAAGCTGACGTGAGAGAGATTTTAAAAACCCATACCAAACATCTAGAGATGAAAACAACAATGTCTGAGATTAAAAAAAAAAATACACAGGATGGGATTAACAGCAGATTAGAGAATGCAGAAGAAAACACAAGTGAATACATAAGAAAAACCTGTAAGTAACATCACATACTCATTGGTGAAGAACTGAAAGCTTTTCCCCACATATCAGAACAAGATAAGGATGCATACTCTCACCACTTCTATGCTCAGAGTACTGGAAGTCCTAGCCAGAGCAATTAGGCAAGAAAAGGAAATAAAAGGCATCCATATTGGGAAGGAAGAAGTAAAATTATCTCTGTTCACAGACAACATTTCTTATATGTAGAAAATCCTAATGATTATATTCCATACACATACAAAAATATTGTTAGAACTAATAAGTGAATTCAGCAAAGTTGCAGGATATAAAATCAACATGCAAAACTCAGTTGCATTTCTATACCCTAATAATGAACAATCCAAAAAGAAAAATTTTAAATATCATTTCATTTACAATAGCATCAAAAAGAATAAAATGCTTTTAAAATAGATGACAATGATAATAATAGTATTCAGGAATAAATTTAACCAAGGAGCTTTAATATTTATACACTGAAAACTACAAAACACTGCTGAAAGAAATTAAAGAAGACACAAATAAGTGGAAAGACATGCTGTGTTCATGAGTTGGAAGGCTTAATATTGTGAAGATGACAATACTACCCAAAGCTATCTACAGATCCAACACAATCCAATAAAAATTCTAAGAGCTTTTTTTGCAGAATGGAAAAGCTGACACTCAAATTCGTATAGAATTACAAGAGGCACTAAATAACAAAACAATATTGAAAAAAAAGAATAGTTGGAGGACTCAAACTTCAAAACTTACTACAAAACTACAATAATTAAAACAATGGTACTAGCATTAAGTACAGACATTGAAACCAATGTAATAAATAGAGAACCCAGAAATAAACCCTCACATATATAGCCAACTGAGTTTCAACAAGGAAGCCAAGACCATTCAATAGGAAAAGGCCAGTCCTTTCAACAAATGATGCTCAGAAAACTAGATATCCAGATGCAAAAGAATGAAGTTGGACCCTAACCTTACACCATATACAAAAGTTAGCCCAAAATGGATCAAAGATGTAAATGTAAAAACTAAATCTTAAAAACTCTTAGAAGGATAGGAAAAATTTTTCATGACATGGGATTTGGCAAAGATTTTTTGGATATAACACCAAGAGCACAGGCAACAGAAGAAAAATAAACTGGACTTTATCAAAATTAAAAACTTACATGCATCAAAGGGCAACG